CCCCAGGTGCAGGACCCTGCTCTTGCCCTTGTTGAACCTCATCAGGTTCCTCTCCGCCCGACTCTCCAGCCTGTCCAGGTCTCACTGGATCCAGCACAGCCTGCCGGTGTAGCCACCAGTCCTCCCAGTTTGGTGTCATCAGCAAACTGGCTGAGGGCACACTCTAACTCTTCATCCAGGTCATTGATGAAGAAGTTGAACAAGACTGGGCCCAGTACTGACCCCTGAGGGACACCACTAGTTACCAGCCTAGTAACAACTAGTTACACGAAGCCACTCGGAAAGCCAGGAGAATTCCCTTCCAGCTCACCCAAACCCGGCATCGAGGGGAGCATCTTTCACACATGGTGACAACCCTTAAAAAATAATCCGCTTTTCGGACGCTTGAGGGGCTCAGCGACGTCGCGGGTCGGGCGAGAGAAGGGTTTCTCTGCGAACCCCTCACACTTCACCCACCCAAAGCAGTTCTGGGTTTATTTTTAGCCCCTCACGTCGATGAGCAAAGGCTGGAAAAAAACTGAAAATAACAGGAAATGGCACCTATTGAAGCGTTTTCCACTCTGCCGCAGCGCAGGCAGGCGATTGAGGGCAGCGCCAGCACAGATTCGTTAACTAAAAACCCATTTTTATTGCGTGCAATTGTCACAAGTAACTACATCATGTCCGGAAAACACCTCAAAAGTGTCAGCCACTAAAAAAAAAACACCATTAGAACTCACACGTGAAGTCAGCAGCACCTGATGCAACCACACAGAAACCGAGAGAAACCCCAAAAAACATTAAAAAAAGAAAAAAAAGGTGAAGTTTTGCCCATTTGTCCATCGATTTTTGGAAATTAAGGGGAAAAATCCCTCCCTCGGTGTTTTTACACCGCCTCCACCTGATGGATCCCGCAGGGGTGAATCCTGCGGGCTCAAAGCACGTCAAAAGACCCAAAAAAATCCATTTTTTTCTTTGCCCTTTTCCTCAAAGAGGAAAATAAACACTCAGCGTTTCCTCCTTAACAGCAGAGATTTAATTCTAGGGCTTTTCCTATTTATAGGAATAAAATATATATAATATATCCATATATTAGCTATAATTCAAAATATTTTCCTTTCTTATTTTTTAGTGTTCCACCTCCAACACAGAAAGGGTGAGGCAGCACCTGTGCCACTACGCGGAAAGGCAAGCGAGGCCACCTAAGCTAAAAAAAAGCACTTTATAATAAATTAATGTCCGTTTTGCCACACTTCTGCAGGCAGAACGGGTCTGAAAGGCACCCAAAAACTCCCCTGAATTTAAGCACGAGCGCGCGCGCTTATCTGAGCGTGGAGGTGCGAGGTCCCTCCCCGCCATTCTTCTCGTCTCGGCTGGAAGAACCGGCTGGGGGTTGAGGGAAAGTGGATTTTGAGCTGCCATATTTGGATTTATCCATTTCCTGTGGGGAGGAAAACGGGCTGTAATGCTCAGCGTTGTCGCTCGACCAGCACACGCCAAAAAAAGAAAAGAAAATTTAAAAAATAGTGATGGGCAGTGCCCTACTCCAGGTTGAAGCTGGCTCAGCTTCCCAGCAGTAAGTAGGAAGTTCTTGCCCAGTAGCTTGCTCGTCGTTCCTCTGGTGCGACCCTCAGGCCATCCTGCCCCGTGAAACCCTCGCAAGCAGCTCGGGAGTGGATTAAAAGCCCTCAAAAATCCCAAATTCGGCTGTTGTCGAGCGTTCTCACGAGGCGAGAGCAGCAGCAGACCCGAAGGTGGTCCTTTCGTAGGGTGAGGACGCAGGCGGAGGAGGGAGCGGGAAAGGTGTCCCTGGGGTCTGGGATGTGCTGGGATAAACCCAGTCGATCCCGGGAGATGGAGCCGCCAACTCCACGAGCCGAGGACATCCATAAAAACCCAAAAAACCCCTCACTTTGGTGAAACATCGCTGGGAGAGCACCTGAGAGGATGATGATGGCCAAAAGGGGAGAAAAACCAATGGTTTCATCAGTCTTGGGGAAAAACGGGATCCTTTAGTTCATTACTAAATGCCGCTAAAAATTCATTTATGGAGAAAATCCCGCTATCGTCACATTTACACCTTCACCGACAGTCCCCAGGTTGAGCCGCTCCTCAGAAGAAGTCTTCCCTGGACGTGGCTGTCCGTGCAAACGTGTCAGTTTTCATCAAGACGAGACGCTTGGAAGTCTTTGCTGGACACTGCGTTCCAAGAAAAACGGGCAAAATCTTTTCATTTACTCCTTTTTTTCTTTAAAAATCTTGCTGGCTTTCATCCCTAACCTCACCGGCACGTTGAGGTGAAGACGTCGCCTTCTCCCTCCAACCAGGTGGAGCTGGTCGCTCCAGCCTTGACTTGGCGGATCCTCCCCAAACCTGCTGCTGTCCCACCCCCAATTCTTGGAGAGAATAATCTGATTTTTTTGACGCATGGAATTCTCTTCACCTTCATCTGACTCTTGACACAGAGCCGTATCTGGTCACCGGTTGGCTCTGTTGCTTTGCATCTTGGGCTTCCCCGAAGACGAGAGCAGCAAATTCTCGGAGGTCTTGCAAGCGTTGGCCATCCTTGCAGCACTTCCCCATCCTCAGGAGGCTTTTCCCAGCCAACCAAGCCCGAAGCTGGCCGCTTTAACTCCACAAAATGTGGGAAAAGCAAAAATCCTATGGGATTTGGGTCATCCTATAGCTCCAAAAATTTGCCCATTTTTCCGGTGGCACCGTGCAAGACCGCAGACGTCTTGCTAAGCTTCACCTGCAGGTATCCTTCCGGGGTCATCAGCAGGGCTACAGCTTTCCTCTCGCTCTTTTAATGTAATGATTTAATTAATTTTAATTAATGAAGAAGTTATGAAGAAGTCCTCGCCAGGTGTGAGTTTCAGGGCTGCTTTGAGTCGTCACCAGGCGGTTTTCCTCGGTCGCACGGCAAAGTTGGGTCGGCAAATGCAAATACAGCATAACTTTGGTTCTTACTCGGCAATTTCTGGCAATAGATTTTTCCCCAGAGTTTGCTTTTTCTGTGGGTTTTTTGTTTTTTTTTTTTTTAAGGTTTTCTTTTGTGTCCTTATCATGCCTCGGGTGCTCGGGTTTGAGGATGCTCCCTGCCGCCGCTTAAGAGCTGACGCAAAGGTTTTGAGCCCGTCTCGTCCCGTTGCCCTCGCTCGGGCTCCGCAGCTCGGGCTGATTGCAAACCCAGCTCCTCTCGGTGCTGCAGCGGGAGGAGCTGAGCCCGTTGTCATTCAGGTAGGCACAGAGGCCGCCGCCGCGGATCTGGAACCTGGAAGGGCAGGCGAGACAACCCACCTCAGATGGGGACAGCAGGAAAAAAGGAGAAAAGTCACGCGCTGGCTTCCCCCCACCACCCGCTTCGGTCCTCAGGCATCGTCCCGGGCATCAATATGCCAATACTGAAGCTGAATTATTTCTATTTTTCCAGCAGTCCGGGGTGGCCATAAAAAACCTGAAGCTTTGCAAGAAAAAAAACCTTAATTTAACAATAAAAAAATCTAACAAACAGTGTTTTCCCCATCAAATGCACGGGTTCCACCTCTCAAGTCAACAGGAGAAACGAGGAGCAGCTCTGGACGCAACGCTGCCTGCCCCAAATGCCGTCGTCCCGTTGCTCCCTCTGGATGCCCCTCAAGCGCCAGCAGAACTGGACATTTCGGGGCTGAAGGAAACACCAACGTCACGATGGAAAACACGGACTCACAGCGGGGATAAATGCGAGTTGTTCACCCATGTCCACGGCTGCTCCTCAGCTTCCCGGGAAAGGCCGAGCCAATGCTCCGAGATGCCCTTGTATCTCATCACGAAGCTCTGCGAAATCAGAGAGAGGAGGACTTTACGGCAGGTCCCCATCCACAGAAACCTCTTTCCAACCAACATCTACACCTTACCAGTCGCTCGCGCTCCTTTAGGGCTCCTTTGGTGCTTGAACCTTTCAATCTGCTACCAAAAAGTGTAATATTTCAGGCAGAGCTTTATTATTGCATAGAAATGGGGCTTTTATTTTGCGATAGCTCTTCCATCGGTTGGCTTTGGTGAGAAATCGAAGAGACCCGTGATGACCCACCCTCCAGAAAACCATTTTCCCCATCTCCTCACCCCAGATCTCCAAGGAAGATCCTGGAAGAGCAGTCGAAAAACCCAAAAGGTGGCAAATACACCAGTGGCTTTCCCCCCCCCCCCCCCATCCTCAAAAATTCTCCCCCCCTCTCTCCCCGGAAGCAGGGGCGGGGGCGGGGCTGAAACGCCTGCGCTGTCATTGAGAGAGCAACAGCGTTAAGGAGCAGCACTTTGCCCTTGCCTCTCCGGGTTGAGGGAGGTCACCCTTCACCCCGCGGCCCCCAGAAGACTTGCATCCGCCTCAACGGTGAGAAGAAAGAAAAATTAAGGCGCCAAGAGACACCTTGGGTGGATTGGAGGGAAGAAACAAGCTCAAATCAAGCCCAGCTTGTGGCGTTGGACAAGAAATGTGGGTGCAGTACCTTCAAAGAAGAAAACAAGGTGGTGGCCTTCAAAGACTCAAGTTCTAAGAGGATTTCCAGAGTAGCCCTACCCCGAAACGCACCCTTGGGTATTGCTACCTGTCATCAATGCAAAAGCAGCGATGGGCAAAGCAGAAAGAAAAAAAGTTCTCTTGTGCCCTCCGACTTCTTCGCTTGGTGGGTCTCACGCCTACATGTCCTGCTGCCTGGAGAAGCAGCAGAGAAACAGCCCCTTCTTCTCTGAAGAAGACACCTTTGGGAAAGCTCAGGTGACTTTACCCGTGAAATTACTCTTTCTGTTGCTTTTTTAAGGGTTTCTGGATGACTTCAGCTCCTACAGAGGGTTTGGTCTTCTGTAGAGAGCCTTCTCTGCTCACTGAAATGCCCTTCTCCTGGAGATGGCAACCAAGAGGTTGTCCAAGACAATAAGGTTGTCCTCTTGGGTTGGGCTGCTTCCCTGGGAGCACGGCGCCTGTGCAATACCCCAAAGTATCTCGGAGATGTTCCCCATGAGACGAAACCCTTGATACCCACCTGCAAAAGTGATGGCCGTGACAAGCAGAGCGGCGAAGAGCACTGCCATCGTCACCTGGCAGGCAACCCGCGCCTCTGGCTTCACCTCCAGGCTGTAACCTGCAGGAGAAGAGACCTTCAACGCCTTTGAGGGGCACCGAGGGGAGCAACACGCTTCAGGTCCGGGCTGTTGGCCCAAAAGATGTTTTTTCCTCCTTTTATTTGAGGATAAAGCGGACTTTTAATGCAATCTCCCCATATCGGGCCACCGTGGAGAGCACCGAGCCCCACGTCTGAGCGCTTGGGCGATGCTCCTCAGAAGCATCATTGGGAAGAGCTTCCCGAAAGGACAGGCACCATTCGATGCCCAGATGGTGAGAGGTCGGTCTCATCCCCACGCCAGGTTGGGCTCGCTGTCCTTTTGGGTGAGAAACATCAAAAATTCTTCTCCACGTGGTATAAAATGATGTGGTTTTGTTTTCACTTTTGGAAACTCCAACAGAGGAACACTGTTTCCTCCCCAGTTCCAGCTGCAAACTCCTCCCCAAAAATGCACCGTAATTAAAACGACCTTTTAATTTCCGAGTTCTGCTTTTCAGAGCTCAGCAGATTTCTTTTTCTCAACGTAAACCGAGAGACTTTGTGTCTTTGCAAATGATGTGAGTCATGGTCACTCCGTCTCTGCGTCTTGTGACGCAGAACATGCCCTTTCACCCCTCCATGAGCAGAGAAAATTCTGTTTCCTGGGGTTTTACCTAAAAATCTCCATGTTTCCTCTTTTTATGTCCCCTTCTTTCTCCCCATCACATGAAGAAAATCTCACGGGACAAACCCTCCGTTTCCCTCTTCGTCCCCCCCCATTCCCCATGCAAAAATTATATTAGAAAGCAAGTCAGAAACCAAATCTGCCAAATAATTTAAAAAAAAAGGCCAAATCAACAAATAAAGAAATGATCAAAAAATCAGTGAATTAATAAAGATGTCAAATAAATAAAAAGTTCCTCAAAATCTTCATCCCTGGCTGGGTAGAATGAGACGTTGGCGAAGACCCAAAAAGCCCCTTTTCCACCCCATTGCGCACCAAGAGGATGATGGAGGTGGGAGGAAGAGCCGGGAGAACTAAAGCAGGGCAGTGTGGAAGGGAAGGCAGAGATTAAGAATTTGCTGACGTGTCTAAACTGAACCCCAACCCTAGTCTCACTATTTTGGGGGTCTTTGGACTCTTGGGTTGTTCTAAAATTTCTAAAATTTCTTCCTTCTCCTTCAGAACCAAACAGAAATCTGGACTCTTGGGTTATTCTAAGATTTCTAAAGTGTCCTCCTTCTCCTTCAGAACCAAACAGAAATTTGGAATCCTGGGTTATTCTAAAATGTCTTCGTTCTCCTCCTTCAGAAGCAAACATAAATTTGGACTCTTGGGTTACTCTAAAATGTCCTCCTTCTCCTTCAGAACCAAACAGAAATTTGGAATCCGGGGTTATTCTAAAATGTCTTCGTTCTCCTTCAGAATCAAACAGAAATTTGGAATCTTTGGGGGGCAAAAAATAAAAAGGCCCAAAAGAAAGAGTGACTGAAGTGCCTCAGGGAGGAAGAATCACATGTGAGAATAACCCAAAGCGTGTGACCTGAGACCGTCCAGAGCAAAAAATTCCACCTGCTGATCGACAA